CAATACCAACCAACGTCCCTAACCATCGATTCCGATAATCCCGCAGACACCAGATAGTCTGGACATGACATGGTTCAAATCAACAGCCAGTGAATTAAGGGATCGACAGCATGTATTGGCATGTATTGGCCCGATCGAAGCTGCTACCTTGACGCGGTGGTCGGGCTTGCCTATCGTGATGACCCAACCGAGCTATATTGGCTGGAACATATGTTCCTGCAGGTTCTACCATGCCAGGCAGGTCGATTGGCGAACGGTAAGACTAAAAGCAGCAACTCAAGGTCTGAGGGCGAAGTCGTACTGCTGACTGTAGAGAGGTGTGACAGCAGTAAGGTGTTTCCCTCGGACAACCAGCATGACAGCGATGCTGCCTTCCCACAAGGAGGGGTGGGGTTAGAAAAGGTCGACCCTAAAAATGCACACCTCACCTTACCTCACGGATTTCCGTCTCCGGCGGTAAGGCCCCTTGAGGAACGGAGCTAACACGTCAAAAACCTTCCACAAAAAGGCCGTGCGCGACCGGCCTCAAGCAGTTGTCCCTTGGGCTCTGCGGTCACGCTCCCAGGTCGTCAAGACCAACACTAATCGAATTTCCTTTTCAGGTTCCTCAAGAAATACCCTTCCATGGTGTGGGCAGCCGGGAAGTGACATCAGCCCTTATACCCGTAATAGCACAAGAGACCAAGGTGGTCACATTCAAATCCTTCCTACACCTCCTAATACCTCTCTTATCCTCCCGACTAACCCTCCTCACGTCTCTTTATCACCTCGCACCGCTAAGGCAAACGATTCGAGTACGTGGAACGCCATTTCTGGTCTCCTGAAACCACGCTCTAAACTACACGTAGGAGCTTTTAACGTACGAACACTTTGCCAAATAGGACAACAGGCTTCCTTAGCTAAAACTTTAGAATCTCGCGCCATCGATGTGTGCTGCGTCTCCGAAACGCGCATACAGGATCCAAGTAGCGTCATTCATTTGACCTCACCATGCCAAAATAAAGAACCGACTCGATTTACGCTTCGTGTATCTGGAAGCCCTGATTCTGCTTCCCGTGGCCTCGCCGGCGTAGGTATAGCATTGAGTCCTAGGGCAGAACTAGCTCTCTTAGAGTGGATCCCAGTAAACAGTCGTTTGTGCGCTGTCCGACTGAACGGAACAGTAAGAATCCGGAAAGATAGGGACACTCGTCGTTGCCTCTTCGTCGTCTCTGCCTATTCTCCCACTGACTGCAGCTCAGATGATGTAAAAGATGAGTTTTACAGAAAGCTTTCGGACCTTCTCCGAAAAGCTAAGCGCTCGGATGTAGTAATAGTGGCCGGTGACTTTAATGCTCAAGTAGGTAAACTAAGCGATAAGGAAAGACACCTAGGTGGATCCTATGGTGTCGTGGCTCAAAGAACAGACAATAGTGACCGTCTGTTGCAGCTATGTTAAGATAACCGCCTGTTTCTTGCAATAATAACTTTAAGCATAAGGAAAAACATCTTTTAACATGGCGACCCCCTAATTCGTCCCAACGTTGGACCCAAATAGATCACATCGCTATCAGCCACCGATGGAGGGGCTCGATAGAAGACTGTCGCTCATTCTGGAGCACATGCTTAGATTCAGATCATGCTCTAGTGCGAGCGCGTATTTGCTTGCGTCTTACTGGACGTAGGAAAGATCCTCCAAGGAAACCTCTTAGGGCCCTACTTAATGATAGTCAAGCTAAGAACATATTTCAGGAACAACTAGGAAAACAGTTAGGCAGCCATGTATGTGATGCCCACCCCGAGGCAGCATGGAACGATATCCGAAAAGCTGTGGAAACAGCAGTGATATCTGCTAGTAAGGTAAACCGTAAAGTTATGGAGCAACACTGGATCTCAGCAGCATCTATCGCACTGATAGATGCTCGGAAACTCATTCCACCTGGCTCTGAACATAATGAAGAGCGGAGTCAGCTTAAGCGCAAGCTGACAAGAAGTCTACGCAATGATCGCGAACAGTGGTGGGTAGCGAAAGCAAGAGAGATGGAAAAGGCAGCGGCAATAGGTAATAGCAGACAATTGTTTAGACTCGTTAAGGAAACCGGAATTAGGAACCCGACCGTTAGAGAAACAATCTCAGAGAAAGATGGACATATTATTCATTCTCAATCCAGGAGATTGGATCGATGGGCAGAACACTTTAGGGATCAGTTCAACTGGCCTTCAGCCACACTTCGGTTTCCCACGATCTCCAGTCAACCTGAATGGCAAGTTAATGTAAGTCCTCCGTCCCTTTACGAAGTTGAAAAAGCCATAGGAAATCTGAAGCGAGGGAGAGCAGCAGGCCCTGACAGGTTTACTCCTGAGATTTTTAAGGATGGTGGTCCAGTATTAGCAATAAGATTAACCGAGGTTTTAGGTAGAATTTGGGAACTGGACGTAATCCCATCTGACTGGTCTCAATCACTGATTGTGCCAGTTTTTAAGAAAGGACAAAAGTCCTCTTGTGACAATCACAGAGGAATCAGTTTGACTAATATAGTGTCTAAAATATTAGCCTCAATAATACTTCGACGCCTAACTAAAGCTCGTGAAGAGCAGACTAGAGAAAACCAGGCTGGTTTTCGACCTGGACGTGGTTGTATAGATCAGATATTCACACTACGTCAGGTTCTAGAACACAGACACACATTCAGACGCCCCACAATGGTAGTATTTCTCGACCTTAAGGCGGCATTCGACTCTATTGATCGTGAGGTTCTATGGCAGTGTTTGTCACTGAAAGGAGTACCAAAGAAGTACATTAACCTTATAAAGGCTCTCTACTCGAACACAACTGGTAGAGTGAGAGCTTATGGCGAACTGTCATCAGAATTGATTACCTCAAGTGGTGTTCGTCAGGGCTGTCCTCTCTCCCCATTCTTGTTCAACTTTGCCATTGACGTACTTTTAGAGATAACACTCTCCTCATCTAAATATACAGGGGTTGAACTTCTACCAGGAGGTTCACTTGTTGACTTAGAATATGCCGATGACATAGTTTTATTTGGTGAAGACGCTGACAAATGCAGAGTCTTCTGACCACTCTAAGCAACAATGCAAGCATGTTCGGGATACGATTCTCTCCCTCGAAATGCAAAATGTTGCTTCAGGATTGGGTTACATCGACACCCGAACTAGTGATAGGGAGTGAAGTAGTTGAGTGTGTCGACCGCTTCACTTATCTTGGAAGTCTCATCAGCCCTTGTGGTTTAGTGTGTGACGAAATCTCAGCACGGATACAGAAGGCTCGACTAGCTCTTGCCAACTTGCGTCATTTATGGCGTAGGCGAGATATCCGTCTATCAACCAAAGGACGTGTTTACTGCGCAGCAGTTCGTTCCGTCCTACTTTATGGCAGTGAAACATGGCCGGTAAGAGTAGAGGATATCCGTAGGTTACTAGTATTTGATCATAGGTGTCTTCGAAACATTGCTCGTATATCATGGGACCATCGAGTAAGTAACACAGTTGTTAGGAAACGGGTACTAGGTAAGGATGGCAAATCAATTGATGAAGTAGTGAAACTTCATCAGGTGAAATGACTGGGACACGTGTTACGTATGTCCAACGACCGACTACCTCGACGTGCTATGTTCAGTGGTATAGGAGTAGGTTGGAAGAAAGCTAGGGGCGGCCAAACCAAAACATGGCACAAGTCCATGAAGTCACTGACAAGTGAACTGAGTCATGTTGGTAGGTGTAGACTACCTGGTTGGGGACCGCGAGATGACAGCAACCGATGGTTAGAGACCCTGAATGACATGGCTCAAAATCGTTTGCAATGGCGCAGGTGCATCCACTCTCTGTGTTCTCCCAAATTCTAATCTTCTGAATTCTTCATGTCCCTTTTTTCCTCTTTCCAAATTTATTTCACTGGATTATACTCTTTAAATAACATCTCCAAACCCTGATCTTCTCGATTACTGCTTATACTCTTATTACCTCTACCACTACGGGATTTGAATCGACAAGTGCATCTCTGTGCTGTGGTGTGGCAACTCGAACTGACGTACGTACGTACGAAGTTCTAAGTTGTTACTGACTGACTGATTGGTTTGGTCCCAGTGACATGGAGTGTTGCTTCATAATTAAAATGACAGTATAAAACTTTTTCGAATTTACAACATAGACCTATCATAGTAAAGCTATTAAAAGTAGCTAAATAGTATACAAAAAAACCACACTAAATACTAAATACTTCAACTATTGTGTACATTCCATTTAAAATACTAAGATATTTACGCGATGAATACAACAGCGCGTAGTAAACAGTGATATGATTAATGTGTAATTACAAATAGGTTGGAACATACTATTTGTGTCACAAAATTAGAAACAAAACTGGAGATCTACCCTATAACGGAGAAATCTGAGATGAAACTGACTAAATAAACTACCATTTTCATGAATTTTATCACGCCAATTTCTTTTTGTTCCACTGCAAAATGATCACGATTTCGGTCACTTATCATTTACAACATAATAATCTACTCAACATTACATTAACAAATACCCAATATGTATATTTGAAAGTTTATTAATAAACAATTCAGTTGTTACGATATCCCAACCAAGGTAATTTTACCCATTTTACCAATAAGTGTAGTTTACTCTTGGATGGTGAGACAATATTTACCTGACAATTCTAGACAGATGAAACCAAGTATCAAAATTTTTAAACTATTAAATAAATAAAACAACTAACTAATATACATAAATATAACCTTTGAGATTTTTAACACTTCTTGAATGAATTCGAATCGTTTCTCCTTGGACACATCATCACGTCGAAATTGTTCCCACATTGGCAGTAGTTTAATTACTACTTCAGAGTGTTTCTTTGACTTTAACCTTAATAGGCGGCGCTCTTTCTTAGCCAAGAATGCTAAAAACAGAACGAGGATGAATACCATTTAAACACACAAAAAAAGGGGAAAAACAGACAAACTTGTTCATCATTTTCCAGGAACGTTGATGAAACTTTACCTTTTGGAGCCTGAAAATAAATTGATAAACCTTGTGTAAAATTTGAATACCGCAATTTTTCTGCCAAGTGTATGTTTCACTTGCTTTGCTTTGTGTACCTGGAACAGGAAATAATCATACTAGAATCTACAGCTGTAGGTTTTTTTATGAATAAATATGATACTTGACTACATATACGATTAGAATTACACCCATGATATAAAGTTTTATCCATGTAAGACTGAGGCAACAATCAAAAGTGGCATCTAGAACTTTGTAGTTGTGCAGTTCGGGTTCAAAAAGTGGTGTATATGGAACGAAATGGGCATAAATATTTAAAAATATTTGAGCTTATCTAATTAAGTTTGCCTGAAAGTTCATAATCGTACAATCTTTATGTGGATGAATAGGAGACTGGAGCTTAAAAACATTGGCACATTTTGAACACGGTATTAGAATTTTATAACGTTATTGATCGGAAATTTCCTGTAAAGTGCTGGAATCCAAATAGGCACACACATTAGCGATACTTTCTAACTAAAGAGGAAAGTTGAACTTCAATGGAACCCCGGAAGATCAAAAAACACTAACAATGAATATATTCAAGTAGGATCTTTTTAAACACATAATGGCCTATCAAAAGTAGACTTGAAACGATAGATCCCTTTGAGTTGGCCAGTTATTTTTATATCGAGAACACACTACAAGTAAACTCAATTAATCGCGTCGGTTTAGTATGCAGTCATGTAAAATTATGTAGACTAGAGAAATATTGACAACACAAGGCGAGACTATAATTTATGGATGAACCAATCAGATATAAGATAACGAGTCACGGATTTCGGCGCGGAATTCACCCGTACATTTGGCTAAATAGTTTTGGCATTATAGCTGATGTCACTTCGTGATGAAAATCCTAAATCTAATTTTTAACCCTAACCATCAACTATAAATGGGAATTCTAACTGCTTTATAACCCTCATTTAGTCATAATTAGTTGTTCACTCTCAAGGCCACTTCAGCGTCGCTCGAAAGTCGACCATAAATTATGGTCTCACCGTGTGTTCTACTAACTAACGAAAAGGGTTGTACAGAATCAATCGTGAAATAAAAACAAGCTTACTTTGGAAACACCACCTTCGACAGGCTTTGTTACTTCCTGTGTTTCATTCAGTCTAACAGTCTGAATTGCTCAAATATTGTTAAGATTCACTCACCTTTTTTGGAATACCATCAGGTTGGGTCTAAAATAATAAGCTAATATTTTACTTTTGCCTTACTTCAGCATGCCGCTTGCTTGATTTTACTTTAGAAACTTGGTTTAGTTCTCTCTTGACCTTGCTCTGTAACAGCAATAAAAAGACTTTACGTCGTGTACCTTGACTGACATTGGTTTCAATACACCGGATAAGTCAATTTGTCGGGGGACTGAATACACCGAGGTAGAACCAACAGTCTAAAGCCCTCAACTATTCAAGGTCATAGCAATCCAAATGCCAATCTTTATTAAACAGAACTAAGCAATAATGTTCCTGGTTGAGAAGATATATATTTCTTAGCGTATTCATTCCGAATCAAGAAACCTAAAATCAATTCATCCTAGAATGTGATCCCATTTTTCTCACTGGTTAATCATAGACTAGAATGCCCTTCGTGAATAAACGGTATCAAACCCACAGATAAAACATTTCTGTTGTAAAATGAACATTTACTTCAAAGTATGTTGCAGAGATTAACATTATTCTACGAACTATCTACCCTTACTATTGAAGATCGAATTTTAGGTGGGGTGATAGAGATGCATCAGCTGGAATAATCTCCCCAGTCCCTAAAGGACTGTAGGGCCAACTAAGCAACACAAAACCCCATCTAAACTATTTTCAAAGCCGAACATATTCCTACCATGGGAAGCTGAGTACTGTATGTTGTACGATTGACCGGTCAACATGAACAATGTTTAGAGTTGGTTGATCAACAACTAGGATATAGCCTTCATATATTCGCTCTTTAATCTATCCTGTTGAACATGTGGAATTCTGTTAGAGAACCTTCATCCACCCACCAAGTGTGCGGTGAAAGCAGGACGGCCATCATATTGAGGGTGGTAGAACAGGGAGTTAATGAATGATGTGATTTACATGCAAAATTGCATAAGTTCAGTAACTTAAAAGCCATATACTCGAAATAAACCCCAGAGGCTTGCCATCTCCCAAACGGATAATTATGCCGCCGATTCAGGACTGGCGTATTTAGGATTCCGCCGCAGATCTAATTTATCACACTTTATATGTAACCACATTTTTATCCAATATCTATTGTTTTTCTGTATCAATTGTTAAAAAAACTATTATAATTTTTCGGATATACATAAACTTATATCCTATCGCGTTGATTGAAATATAAACGCTATCCTCGCCGTCTGTTCTTCTGCTTTTATCAGAGACAGCCTTTGAATCAAGATTATAATAATGTTATGACATCCTTCTAGGCCTCCCCATACTGTATTGGAATTTTGGCCCGGACTATTCCTAAGTAATACTATTGGATTCAATCTTTCTCATTACGCCGTTGATGCCACCACATGCCGAGGAGCCTTCGTCAATCAAGTGAACTCATTAGTGGTTGTTATCTCAGAGAGAAGCTTACAATTAACATTCATTTCATAACAACTGTTATTATCTTGTTGTTTAATATACCATTTGTATTGTAACTGTAATATGTTACCTTTTGCTTTACTCATAGACATACACCTAGGATTTTGGTGTTAACTCTTTTGGTATATTACTGATAACCTTGAGTATTGTTATGATTTAAATAATCTCTTTTTCTGGGATCCACTACAACCTATATGGATGTTGATCGAGAGTGGTGCAACCTAGCTCACGGCAAAGTCACAACTCGGGGATTATATAACTTGGGTCATAATGTTAATGTGACTACTTTGACGTCAAACATAATCTTGTTGTGTCATAGGAAAAGATTAATGAAGTATATGGTAAAGTCACTGCTGAACGAAGCGGTCTGTGGCATACAATGAACTGCCTCGTGTTATTCATTCTTGCTCGTCATGATGTTCGATAAACTGTGCAACGTTCAGTGATCTTTCGTGTGATGAAGAATATTCCGGCGTGATGGTTGGTTAGTCTTTGACTCAGTGACATTTCGCTGGACTCACAATTTTGTTGATATACAAACTATACACATAAGGATTTTCGCATACAACCAAGGATACACTCGAAAACTCATGCTCAAATTGACATTAACACTAAAGCCACTAATGATTACTATTTCCACCATCAGACAGTGATTTTCGGTATCAATTACACTTTGTTTTATGAAGAAATCCGATAGGTCTATGTGCATCGAATGAATATGCTCCCAGGATCTATTCGTTGCGTACTCTATCAGTTAATCACAGACCAGTGTTTAAGCGGGAGAAAAGTATGAACACATCTCAAGGTATCGCATTCGGGATTTCCAATTAGTCCCTGAACAGTGTACGAAGCCACTATTAACTAGCACAAATATTACATTCAGGCAGCCAACATATCTGTGATACATTATTCACCTACACGAAAGTCATGTTGATATTCAGAACCTAAGAAAAGATACTTCTCCTGGCCCGGATATGGTTCATTCTACTATACTGAAAGAAGCAGCTTCAATCCTGGCAACACCGCTTAGCGTGATGTTCTCGCACTCGCTAAGCCGAGGAAAACTACCGGAAATTTGGAAGCTGGCAAACATATCACCAATTTTCAAAGGAGGTCGACGTAGAAAACCTTCAAGCTACCAACCGGTAGCACTTTTCTCTATACCTTCACATATTGTGGAGTCCCTGATATGCGATCGTGTACACGACTATTAATTATCCTTAAACTTCTTTTCACCCCAGCAGTATGGTTTCAGGAAGGACCGTTCCTGTAAAACCAACCTGCCGACTGCGGTGGACAGATGGACAAGCATCCCTGATCGAAAGGGGAAGGTTGATATCATTTACCTTGATTTCTCGAAAGCTTTTGATAAGGTCAACCATATATGTCTTATCAATAAGCCCAAAATTTTGGGTATCAAATCACCTCTAATTTATTGGATCCCTTCATATCTAAAAATTCGACATTTTAAGGTCAGGGTTAACTTCACTTTATCTCAGGCTATGGAATGTCCTGTAAAGGGTTCTCCAGGGTTCAGTACTAGGACCCATTCTTTTCTTGATTTATATAAACGAACCTCCACAACAGGTGTCGTCTGACCTATTACTCTTTTCTGACGATATGTAACTCTGGACAGACAGACACGCAACCAAGAGGATATACAGGCACTTCAGGAGGATCTGACTCGACTTCAAGGTTGGGCAGACGATAACGGACATACCTTTAACACTTCCAAGTGTAAAGTAGTCCATCTGCGACATGTTGCGGACTACAGTTAAAACTTAAGAAACTCCTCTCTAGAAGCATCCCAAGTTAAAAAAGATTTAGGAGTGATAGTACCATACGATTTGAAGTCTTACGCTAACTGTGACAAAAATGCTTTTCGAGCCAACCCTGCACTGATAGCATTGAAGCGCATTCTTGGCCAGTTTGATGGAAGAACTAACCACATAATCTTCAACAGTTTTATTCATCCCCATCTGGAGTGTGAAAATATAGTATTTCTTCCCTCACTGCAAAATGATAAGGAGACTCTGGAGCGTACCCAACGGCGAGCCACGAAATCAGTTCGGGGACTCAAGTTCAAACCTTACGACGAGCGCCACAAATCACCTAACTTTACCCATTAGAGTATAGGCGTCTTAGAGGTGACCTTCTAACGGCTTACAGTATCCTTACCACTTCTGGACATCCGCGTAAACATCTACTTCAGCTTGGTCTTAATACAAACCTAAGGGAAAACACCCAGAAATTGGAGATACAGCATAGCAGAATGGACTGTAAACACAATTTCTACTCCTTAAGAGTTTTCAAATGCTGGAATTCGCTGCCGGCTGAGCTAGTCCAAGCAACTTCCCAGGAGTCCTTTAAGAGGAAACCTGATATATTCTTAAGGACTAAGGACAATATCTTACTATGATCCACCAATCTCTTTTTCTTTGTATTATCGCTAATATACCTGGGTTCCTGCCTGGAGATATTGGTGGTCCACTGATACTAGACACGGAAGCCCGTTAAGCGAAGGCTTCTTCTATTTCTTCCACAACCATTTGAACCACTTGAATCATTTGAGTAGAAAATTTGCAACGGTCTCATTTATCTCCCTTGCCATGACCATGACGACCACGGAGATTTATCTGAATATCTTGCTTAGGCCTTGGTAAATGGACATAACTAAGCCTTTTGTCATCTGCTGCGATCACCGGGTAAGTAATAGTGAGGTAAGACGAAACGTATTAGGGAATGATGGTAAATCGGTCGATGACGTTGGAAATCTTCATCGACTTAGATGGTTGGGCAACGTGCTACGTATGCCTGAACACGGATTACCACGACAAGCAATGTTGACTAGTGTTGGGGATGGTTGAAAAAACGTTAGGGACGGCCAAACCAGACAAAACGTGGGATCAGTTCACAAAGTCACCAACTTCTGGTCTGAGTCATGTTGGTAGATGCAAACTATTCTGTCAGGGTTCATTCGACTATGGTAGCCAATGTTTGGAGACTGTGTGACATGACTCAGAACCAATCACAATGGATTGGGTGTATACACTCTATGTCTTCCCTTAAACCATGAGATTAAAATTGCTTTATATCTTTCTTCCTACCAACTAATTCTTTATTCTTGTACTATATCCTTATGCACAATCTTTCTTTTATATATTACTACCATTGACGTGACTATTTGAATTCGGTGTTCGTCTTGTTGTGCTTATGAGGTGTGGCAACCTGGACCGATACATATATGTTCCTGGTCCTACATTGTAGCTGACTGGCTGAATTTGTCAGTCAGAGAGCAATGAGGTCTTCACAGTAAAACTACTTTGATAGTGTAGTAACTTGGGAGCGAAGTAGATTTGCATATCCTTTCATGGAAACGATTTGTCTCTTTGTTTGGTGGCGGTAAAATCATTTTTCCTTTCCAGGAATACGGCTATAAAAAAGTCAATTATTGCTTTCTAAGGTAGTCTGTGAACTAACATGGGTGTTTGGTATCTGCTTTTTCATTTTCAAAGTATGTCAACGAATGACCGCGTACATGCTCTACGTTTTCTTTAGCAAGATACGGGGAGAATAACAAGTTTCAGCAGACTGAAAAGAGAACTAACTCATCAAGAAACCAAACGAAAGAGATCTAAGTAAATGTGAGAACTACTGAGGAATCACACTATTATCAATACCAGGAGACGTTTTCAACAGTGTCGCTGATCCGGATAAAAGATTCAGTAGACGCAAA